AAAAAAAAAAAAAAAAAAAAAAAAAAAGAAAATACAATAAATGCTAGTTATCTTTTTTGTTACAATTTTTAGTAAATATGTTCTCTCTTTATATAAATATAGATATAGATTAGCTGGTTTTGAAAATTACTCGTGAATAATATGACGATTTAATGTGATGAAACAGAAAATCAATATAATTCTTGATCGATGGTCTTCCATTCCTCCATTCGAAACAAATCTCTGTCTGTTTTTGCTAGACAATTTGATCATTAGGTTGGTCGATCTTTTATATATTTTAAACAAAGACTAGTGTTGGTACCTGTGCAGGGTGCAATACAAAAAATATTTTTTATTTAAATATTATAAAATTATTTAAAATAATATGAAATATATTATCCACAATGTTCTATTCAGTAATAATATGACATTTATTTATTTACTATTATTGTTAATTTCTATTATATATATATATATATATATATTTTGTACTTTGAGAATTTAATATATAAATTTTATTATTTATAAGTTTATAAAATATTATAAATGTATAAGATCATATGATATTTGCAATACAAATTGTTTGTGTGTATTTATAAAATTACTGTTTATCATAGTCATATAATTTTTTCAACAATTCATAATTTGCACATTGCTTGATAATTGACCAACGTTTAACACATAATAGTTATCTCCCGACTTCCGCTATAATTATTAAGTGCATTACATGTTAAAAATTTTGATAAATAAATTAAATTTTTAGTAACTTTAATCCTTATGCAACACACAAATTTTTTATGGTTAAATATTTTATTTTTATGTTGTCATTTTTTATTTATATTTATTCCTTTATTTCATTTTTTTCAACCAATATAATGGATTATATAGTATCTATTCATATATTTAGACATATTATATATTTTCATAATTATCAAGTGTTATAATTTAAACTAGTACGAATTCCGTGCAGTAAGAAATATTCTTTAATATTTATAAATTAAAGATGCTAATTAAACAATATTTATAAATTGAAAATATGGAATCAATATGTAATGCAACTTACCTATATTAATTTGTTGAAAATGTTAGATGAAACATAATTTGTAAAATTACATTAAATATGCCTATTTAGAATTAGTACACGACCCGTACAGTGCAAGTAACTAATAATAAATTACATTATATTCATTTCGAAATAGATGTATTTTAAATTTTTTATTCATAAATTCGATTTGACTACAATGTGATTCAAGTAAATACAAACTTATA